CCCCCCTCTGTGAGAACCGATCTGAATCACTGGGGAAACCCTCTCATTCTGTCAGAGGGAGTTCCCATCAGCAGGCCTACGTCACACATCTCAGTTTTCACAGATGCGTTCCTGTCAAGCTGGGAGGAATGTGTCTGTCCCAAGCAGTGGGAGCACAGTGGCTGGACCACATGTCGCTTTACATAATGTGCTAGAATGTTTTTAACGGTCTGAAACTTGACTCAGCATTTTGCCCCTGCTGCTGGATCAGCATTTTCTGATCCACACAGGCAACAAGGTGACGGCAGTTTACATAAACCGTCAGGGAGACGTGCGCTCAGCCTAACTGTTACACATCGCAAAACAGCTGTTGTGTTGTCCACACAGAAATCTGCTCTCCATCAGAGCAGTGCACTTTCCCAGCGTCCTGAACAGGCAAGTGGATATCATGCCAAGGGGTGGACCCCGCCACAGAGACTGGAGCCTCCATCCCAAGCTGATTTCTCAGATTTGGAGCAAGTTTTGGCCGAGCAGCAGTGGATCTGTCCGCCACACGGGAGAACGCCCAGTGTCAATTATGTTTCTCACTGAGCCCACGAGACGACCCACCGTTAAGAGTGGACGCCTTCGCTCATAGCCCGTGGCCAAAAATGCTCCTTTATGCATTCCCTCTAGTCCTACCGATATCACGGACCCTGGACCGGGTCAGGGAGGAAGAACCGTCAGTCATCCTTGTAGCTCCTGAACGCACATGCACTCCGTGGTTCTCGAATCTGCAGCGTCTGATATCGGGTTGGCTGTGGAAACTGCTGTGGGGGGGGGGCGCTCTCCTCCATGCAGGAAGAACGATCATGAGTTACCCAGCAATAGGTCAGCATCTTTGGGTCTGTCCGCTGAACAGATCCATTTAGAAAAGATGGGCCTCCCACAATATGTGGTGCATACGTTCAGGGCGCACGAGCTGCTTCCACCACAACGCTGAACACATCAAGTGGACAGTTTTTCAGCGTTGGTGCGCAGAGAAAGGCATGGAGGCTATCTCATGGCCACTAGGTGGCATGCTGTCCTTTCTGCAGCAGCTGATGGACAGAGATCTCACGTTCAGAACAATTAAAACTTATGCTACAGCTATTTCTTCCTGTCATGAGGGCTTCAGTGACAGAACAGTTTTTAATCACCCATTGATGAAGCATTTCCTGAAAGGTGTACGGAGACACAGACCGGTGTCACGTCCACTAGCTTCACAGTGAGACCTAATGATGGTCCTGCACGTTCTGA